CAAAAAAAAATTTTTTTTTTTTTTTTTTTTTTTTTGTCTTTTGTCTTTTTCCGTGTCCGGCAACGGATCACAACCCTCAGTGTTGCCCCCGTACCGGACCGGGGACCGGCAACGGGATTGCAACCCTCGGTGTTGCTCCCGCGCCTCGCTCAGCCAGTGAGCGGGAACCGGTCTGTATGTGGGATCCGAACCCTCGGGCAGGAGCGCCGCCGTGCTTCCCAAGCAGCGCACTTATCCAGTGCGCCACCGGGCCGGCCCCAAAAGAATAATTTTTTAAAACATTTTTATGCTAAAAGTATGTTAGAGAAGGAGGGTGGTAAGTCTGAATTCTTATTTCTAACCAACTTAATCCACCTCTTTTCCCAGTGAGTCCGTGAGTGAATCAAAGTTGCACCTGAGAAGACACTTAATATAATCCTAACTTTACTAATGCAGCCACTTAGAAATAGATTGTCCCCCTTTTTACTAGTAGATTTCAAAGGTTTATAATTTCCTAAGACATAAAAAGTGGTTAGAAGAATTTTAAAGTAACAGCATACTTTGTAAAATAAACAGTAAGTTAATAGGAACTAGTTCCATATAAGTATACAACTATACTGGTTCCATATAAGTATGCACCTTTTATCATTTTTATTCTCTTTATAATGTTTTATCAACAAAAGTGAAACTTAGATACAGTGTAACAATTTTGATCGTTTAAAATTGGATTTTGCCAGCATATTTTTGGGTTTTTTTTGACCAGTAAGGGGACCATAACCCTTGGCTCTGTGTCGTCTGCACCATGCTCAGCCAGTGAGCACACCAGCCATCCCTATATAGGATGCGAACCCGCGGCCTTGGCACTACCAGCGCCACACTCTCCCCAGTGAGCCACAGGGCCGGCCCTTGCCAGTATGTTTTAATGCCAGAATTTCTAAATAAATCTCCTTGTTAGGAAATTTAAAAAGTTAAAGCTTATTTCCTTCAACCACCACCTTTTGAGTTTGTTAACTTACACCATAAGCTTCTTTAATTTCTCATTGTAATTTACTTCTTTTCTCATTCAGGTTGCCAGTGTTTTATTAAACGTTATCTTTACAAAAAATGGCCATAAATCTTTGCTTCTTCCCTTTTAGGGATCTTTGTGGTTATAAAATCTTACTTGTAACACCACATTGTTTTGGGTATCTTATAGGGTGGAAGGTTGCAAGTGTATGAGGGTGGAAGGGGAGCTGCGTGTGTGTGTGCGCACATGCATGTGGAGGGAGAGAGAAAGAGAACAAACTCACTGCCTGAGGTTAGAGGTTCAGTTCAGCATTTCTTTCAGATATTACGTGCAAAAAGTTGGGAACCTGGGTAAGATGTGTGTTAATTTTTACAGCTGCCTCATCTGAGTAATTTAATATATGTACAGGCCAAAATTCTTCCCCCAAAAGTACTGACAGATTATTACACCAATTTATTAAAAGGCACACCTAATTTATGGTTTATCATATATAAACTGATTATTGACAAAGTCTCAAAGACAAAAAAATAACGGAAAAAGTCTAGAGGGAGCTCTTTATGTAACAAACTTAATTTGAATTAACTTTGAAGTCTTAAGCCTCCTAGTAGTATATTTCTTGAACAAAAATGATTGAGCTCAGGAAACAAAACCAGAGTATTGAAACTTTATATTAGGCTACCTCTAATATATAACTCTCAAACTGATAATTGGCAGTTTCTGAAAATGCTGCCACTTAGCAACATACTGACACACCTGTTTATCATTCTTAATGAACATGAACTTTGTGTCTAGCTCTTAGTTTAATAAAAATTCCTGAGAAGGTAGAGTCACTTGAGAAATCTTATGTCTGTTCAAACTCATGAAACTACTTATTTTACCAAATTAATAATTAAAAAGCTACTGATTACTTTAGAAAATCTTGTGAGGCCCAGGGTCCAACTCTCAGCACATATAATTGTTACATGGTGGGGCCGAGCCCGTGGCGCACTCGGGAGAGTGCGGCGCTGGGAGTGCAGCAGCGCTCCCGCCGCGGGTTCGGATCCTATATAGGGATGACCGGTGCGCTCACAGCGCTCACTGGCTGAGCGCGGTGTGGCCGGGCTCAAAAAAAAAAAAAAAAAAAAAAAATTGTTATATGGTGTATGACTGCAGTAAGAAGTTTTAGAAACACAAATCTCTATCATAATAATTGTCTCAGGTGTTGTATAACCCATCTCCAGCTGGGACCTGGTAACTCCTACTGAAATTAATTTGATCAGTCATTTCAAAGATCTAGGTTAAAATTTTTCTGTAATTGTAAAGACTGTTTTGGGAGGGAGATCCTAATCCTTAAGCAAATGAGTTCCGTATACCCTAGGTATACTCACTGACAAATTAACACAGTTATAATCCATTCCAATTTTAATAGAGCATCAATTATTCCTTATACAGATCCATTAGGTTATGTTTAATGTTCCTTCAAAACTTCGGCCCTAAAAGCCATCCATTCAGTGTCATTGTATGTGACTTGAATGTAAGCTTATATGAGCAGAGGGTTTTATTTTTTTCTCTTTTGTTCACTGATATATCTCTTCCTTCTATAGTTTTGCCTGGCACATAGTAGGCATGCAAATATTTGTTTAAGGAATGGCAAATGAGTTTCAAAAATGACTACTTCTATTACTGTTTTGACACCTTGACCTGAAGAAACTTGCCACAAATCATAAGGTTCCAGTTTTCATTTATCCTCATGTAGTTGCTTTTGTCTCTTAGGACAAGAATGCTGGAAAAAGTCTCAAGAGGAAATTGGTTTGAGTCTATGCTGCCAAAATAAATGGTTCTTTGTCAAAACTGTGGTCCTTATTTTGTAGAATACTGGTAAATATAAGAAGTCAAAGTATTCAGTTACTTGAAAGAACATTTTGCATCTAGAACCTGACAGTCACATTGGGGAAGTTGCCTGTCAGGAAACAAACATTCCAAGATCCTTGTCATTACTTTCTTGCCTCCTCGTTTCTGTAGTCGTCTGTCTTATTGATCTTAAAGTCACCTTTGTAGTAAGCCAGTTCATGTTTTTAGGAAAGTGCTATAGTTTGTGTAGTATTTCATCTTTCACAATTCACCCAGTAAATATGAACACTCCAAACCAGGAATCCAAACTTGAAAGTGGAGATGCTGTTGCCTCACTTAACAAGGAATTATGTTATGGGCAGAAGCAAGTATGGGGAAAGAGAGACCAACAAAAAGATATTTTTAGCAAGGAACAAAAAGGATTACTTTCTAGATAAATTTAATATAGTTCTTTTTATCTTGTTTGATTATTCCTGATACTTGGAGTTTTATGTCTTCCATTTAAAAGAGCAGTCAGGCTTCCAGTCAAGATGGAATAGATGATTGCTAGCGTCTATCATCACTCTCTCCCACAAATCAACCAATTTGCAACTATTAAAAAG